CCTGCCCCGCCCCGCCCCAGCCCGCGCCCTCTTCAAGGCGTCGAGCTCGGGCTGAGTAGGACAACACGGCCTGCAGTGGCGGACAAGGCGCAGTAAGCGAACCCAAAGCCAGAGAGCAACGAGGGGGGAATCACTTGCGAAATAGTTCGTACACCTTCCCCAAAAGAAAGGCGAAATAGAGGCGAAATAGAGCGAAATAAAGACGAAATGGACGCGAAATAGTTGGTGAAATAGTCGCGAAATACCCTGAAATAGCCTGAAATAATCCGAATCCGAAAGAGGCGAGTAATAGCTGAAATGGCAGGAGAAATAACCGAAATGGCAGGAGAAATACCACGAAATAGTCCGTAAGCTACGAACCTTAGTGATTTCAGCCTCAGAGAGCGAGCCCCCGGGGCTCGGCAGCGAGGCTCTGGGTGGCTCAGCCGGGCCCAGCGCAGGGAAAGGAGGGAAAGGGAGTCTCTGCAGAAATGAGAAACTTAATGGGGGCCGTTGGCGCTGCTGCTGATGAGCAGAGCGAGCTGCAGAAACGGGGCCCGCCACAAGACGGCAGACAAGAACATGAGAAACGATGCGGGGGTTTATTCCGGTGTCAGTATGACAAACACATGTCCACCTCATAAGCAACCCAGATAAGCTTGTTCTTGACCAGATCGAGTACTAATTGGCGCTCAATCCAAGACCAATTTGACTTCAAATGGGAACATGGGCTGCATATTTCAAGCGCAAAAGGGGGCAGTTGGAGGACGAATTGTGGATGATTTCAGCCAACATTTTAGAACAAGATCTTCTTGAGATGGTCAAGTACATTGCACTTGATTCAAAGTACAATGCGAATGCGCTTCGTAGCTTACGAAGGATTTTGAAGCCTTCTATTGCGAATTGATTTTCGTAAGCTTACGAACAAATAGTTCGTAGTGCAAGCCGATTGTTCGTAAGAACCTTCCTCGCCTTACAAAAAATTGCTTTGCAATGCAAACAATGTCTTTTCAATGCAAACAATGTCTATGTCTTTTCAATGCAAATAATGAAAATTGTTCGTAACGTTGCAAAGCATTTATAGTTCGTAAAGGGCTGTCGGTTTGTGGGTGGATGACACTCCTTAATTTGTCTTAATCCCCCTCTTTTTCTCGGACTTTCGACATCCCGTATTCGACCAGCTGATGCTTTGCAGCGGTGGCGGCGCAAGAGCCGTCTGGAAACAACTTTCGGCCACGATCTATAGCTCGGGCGCGCGCCATATGGCAGAAGTTGGCCGGCCTGCCACGCGCCGCCACGCCCACCGCGCCGTGCGCCGCGGAGCAGCACATCGACCCCGTGTTGGGCAACGCCGCGCCACTCCACTCAATTTTCATTTTCCCGCTCAGGTATTCACGGCAGGAAGTCCTTCTGCGGGGCGTTCCGTGCCACACCGAGAGGCTGGGCCTCGGGGGCTGCATGGGCCTTACGCGGAGGTAGTGTGGCGGGGCGTGGCAAGGCGAGGCGTGGCGTGGCAGGGGATGGCAGAGGATGGCAGGGGCGTGGCAGGGCGGGGCGTGGCGGAAGCATACGGAGGCAGCGGGAGCACGCACAGACTGTTGATCCGAGCAGCATCGATCAGCCTGCGGTGCGCGTGAACACGTCGCGCCGGTCTGATCGCATCAGCCCGTCTCCGCGGCCGAGTACATCCGATTCGGAGCCGAACACTCTGATTCCCGATACAGAGCGGGGATTTCGTTTTTGGCCTCGCCCCCCCACACCGCTTGATCCGCCGGAGCCACGCGCCGAGCCCCGAGACCCACTTAGTTTAGATCCCATCTGGACACGCGCGACCGGCGGCCAGTCCACTGGACTGAGTCAGGCTGGCGTGAGGAGTGTATAGTGTAGCAGTTACGGCAAACGGGAAACGTTAATGGGATTACATATCGGGTTGTATTCAAAACTGTAGGTCGGCTTATAACTAAAGTTGTTGACCCTCGTTTTGACGTCAAATCAATGCGGGTCAATTGACGACTTCTTAACGATTGTGTTTCATCTGGATTTGCTCCGGAAATTCAACAATGTGCATGCCACGAAAAAAAAACAACAAAAAAACAAAGGGATGACATCGGATTACTCCACTTTCAAAATAACCCCGGATTACTCCGTCTCAAAAACTATTTCTCTTATCAAACCACCTCATATAAATTAGAACGGTGAGAAAACGGATTAGTTATCTCGTCCGTTTTTCCGCTGCAGCCAGTCCTGAGACTGAGATCATCCTGCGCAGGCCCCCGTGGAGCGCTCTGCGCGCACGGACCATCACGCGCAAAAGTTACAGAAACATCCCCCCCCTCTCTCTCACTCACTCACTCTCTCTCTCTCTCTCTCTCTCTCTCTCTCTCTCTCTCTCTCTCTCTCTCTCTCTCTCTCTCTCTCTCTCCCCTTCTCCTTCGTTTATACACGAGACA